TTTTATTGTACGCGTATGAATGTAAAAAAAACGATTTTTGGAGAAAAAAATGAAACTTTTCAGTTAATGAAAAAAATTTCCATCACCTAAAGCATTTTTCATCTCTAAGAAAGATCAAAATAGTTTTTCAGTGAAGAAAGGAATAATAATTTACAGAAATACCAGATAATAATCACATTCGTCAGAAAATACTTTTGGACCGTGTGATGAATGCAATTTTTCGTCAGAAGGCCCGTAAACCGCGATCAAACCGAGCGAAGCGAGGTTAGAATCGCGGTTTACCGGGTCTTCTCACGAAAAACACTTTTTGCACTCGTTACGAAATATACTATTGTCTTCATATAGCCCAGACGTTTGTGGTAATAAATTAGTATTATGCTCCCGAATGGTCATTTTGCTCGCCATTTTTTTTTCTATCGTATATCATTTATTGGTTTATATTATTTTATCTAAATATAATACGTTATTTCAAGATTTCAAAGGTTTCAAAATTTAAGGCCCGGGTGTACTATCTTTCGAATTTTATCAGAATTTTTTTAATCTTTCGTAATCCAAAATTGTCAATTGAGTGGTACATCATGTAGAAATTCCCAAAAATTATGACAGAATGATAACAAAAAAATGGAAAAAATTCTGAACTTTTTCAGAGAACGTTTTTAATTGAGATTCAGAATGAGTTGAAAAATGTGGAAATTAAAAATATCTGATTCGCTGTGGCAAATTAATTAATTGACAATTTCAGATGACGAAAGACGAAAAAAAAGCATCGAGATAACTTTCGGAAGATAGTACACCCGGGCCTTAAAATAAGATTTTCAAAAATCTTAATTTGGAGCTTGAAATTTTTTAATTGAGTCGAAAAATAGTATTTTTCAACTTTTTGGATCATAACGCACTGATATAACACAAAAGATGAAAAAAAAACCGAAACAAAAAATTCATGAATTATTCCTGTTCTTCACTGACGGGAAAAAAATCTTCAGGAGGATAAAGAGGGAAAATAAGCGTACCCTCTGCTTTTGAAACCTGGAAGAGGCTAAAAATTGATATGACAAGAAGGCTAATCCAATGTAACTCTTCTCCACACTCTCACATTAATCCAAAACCTGGACATCACCCTCTGGGGATCAACTCTTTGCTCCGGATTACCGCAATGTCACTCTCAATTCCCCATAACATACACAAGTGTCAATTAAGACCCCTGAATTAAAAGATTTCAAGAAGAAAGAATTTCCCAATTCAAAATGAAAAATTCAATTTTTCAATTAAATTCCTCTCCTCAATAATTCCGCGTATAAAGATATTCATCACAAGAAAAAATACGCAAAATAAGAATTCTCTAAAAAGAAAGTAAACTAATTAAAACAATTGACTGAAAAAATGACTGAATTGAGAATTAAAAAATAAATAAGAGGGGAAAAAATACAAACGATTTGGGTAATTTTCCTAAAAACCATCTCAAAACTCCTCTTCAATCCGTCAACGTCGCAAACGGGAAGGAGTGCGAGGGGGAGGGGGTCAGGAAGGAGAGGGAGTGATGCGGATTTTACGAAAGGATTAGACATTTGCATAGAGCGATCGCTCAAGCCGAGGCTTTTCTGCCTGTCTATTTTTTCAACGACTTTCTTTCACCCTACATTCTAAATTCGCACTTAAAAATTCTCGTACAATTATTAATCAAGTCTATTGTATCGAGAAAATAAAATTTTTCTCACGTGAAGTATTTTTCATTTCTAAGAAAAATCAAAATAATTTTTTTAGTTAAAAAAGAAACAGTAGTTTGAAGAAATGAGTGATAATAATCATCAATTGAGAAATCATTATTCATAATTATTGATTGAATTGATTAATAAAGAGGACAGAATTTTTTAAATTTACATGTCTCGAAGCAAAACACATTTTTTTTTAGAAAAATTTGAGACTGTTTTCAGTTAATCAGAAGAATTAATAATTTGAAAAAATAATTAATAATAATTGTTGATTAAGTCATTAATTGAGAGAATAGATTTTTTATTTTACACGTATGAATGTAAAAAAAAAACGATTTTTGGAGAGAAAAATAAACTTTTCAGTTAATGAAAAAAATTTCCATCACCTGAAGCATTTTTCATCTCTAAGAAAGATCAAAATAGTTTTTCAGTGAAGAAAGGAATAATAATTTACAGAAATACCAGATAATAATCACTAATTAAGAAGTGCTTATTAATAATTCATTATTTAATTGATTAATCAAGAGAATGGATTGATTAACTGGAACGTCTCAATTTAAAACAACGGCTTTTGGTGAAAAAATAAAGGCTGTTTTCAATTAATGATGAAAATAAATTGATTATCCTTATTTAAACCCGTAAAAACCCCTAAAAACTATCAAGTGTTGATATGACATCGAGACAATAGCCTCTTCGGTGGCTGAAGATGTCGCAAGACAAGTGCGATAATTAATAACATGAAATTGATTAAGGCTGTCAGATTAAGTCTATAGAAACGTAATGGGTGGTAGCTGGGAGGGGATAATAACAAACCCAACCTTCTCCCCATTGCTTTCAACCTTTTGGCGAACGTGTGATTAATAATTTTGAGATAACGCCCGACCCTCCACTACCCAACGATCCACTATCCACTGTGGGATGTCCTTCTGATTTTACGTGGGACTTTACCACATCATAAATGAGTAATTATTCATGAGAGATTTTGTTGTCTCACTCTTTCATCATTTTCACGTTTTTATTTTTGGCTTGAGGTAATGCCAAGTGGGCTCAACAGTCTCGTGGCGATGAAATTTAAGGGGGGAATAAAAAATTTCGGCAAGTGCAAGTGGTTTCAATGGAGAAAATATTTCTCTGGTGATTCAAGAGGTGGAAATTGCTCTATTTTAATGCGCAAAATTTCTAAGTGTGAATGATAAAAATAATTCAATGAATTTTCTCGTCAATTTTTTAGCCTCTTCTACGTTTTAAACGTTTTTTGTAAAAATTAAAAAATTTGATTGAGCCTATTTCACTTGTAACTTGTCTAATATAAATTTGATAAGAAAATTTTTCGGATACAAAATGTAGAGTAGAGAATATCTGGTAAAAAAGTTCTTCTTGTGTTTTTCGATAATTATGGCAATAACCGAGATAATTGCAATTTTACAAATTTCATAATGATCACTGAATTTTTAATATTAAAAATTTATTCAAAAAACACTGACTTCTCGAAAAAAAACAGGGCCACTGGATAATTCGTTCGATGAACAATTTTTAATTAGTTTCCAAAGATGAATAATAACATAATTCAATTAATTACGAATCTTATCATCATGAGAATTTTCATTCTGCTCATCATTTCTCATTCTCACTTAATGATAGATTATCTAATCAATGAATCTGATCTGATGCAGAAAATTTTAGTATTACTTTGGTCAGGTTACTTGTAACAAATGGCCAACATTGTAACATTGCAAGACAATAAAGACTCCCTTGAAAAAAATCCTAAACAATTCTCTCGAGCTCGAAAAAACAATCCAAATTATTTTCTCAATACCAAAGTGCAGAAAAAAGGGTCTGAGTGGATTTTGGGAGAAACGTGGGGGCTCATCCCCCAATGTATCACTCGGTGGTGGATCATTAGACGTTTTCAATTAGTTTTCCCACTTTCTCTCTCTCCTCCCCCCCCCCCCCCCCCCCCCCCCCCCCCC